CCCCAAAACCCCAAAACCCCAAAACCCCAAAACCCCAAGATTTATTAGATTTTTGAATAACTTTATAAGCAATGGACAACGAAATTGGTATACCTGAGTTTGTTATTCTTAGAAATGAAAAGTAGTCTCTTCCCCAAGAAGCATATAAACAGTTCTCAAGTGGCTAAGCAAGGTACAGTTTGGTTAAATTTGTTGTCTTGATCCTATGATATCCAATATAGCCAATGATCTAAATAAAAGTATCACAAATAAAGTGGACACGCCAGTAGAGGGGTACTCTTGATTATCCTCTGGAGCTTTTATCCCATCTGCGATTTCTTTAGTTTCTGCCACTTTAGGTGCTGGAACTGTCACACTTCCATTCTTGGCGTACGAAAATGGGATAGTTCTGTCCTCAATTTTGGTAATCATTGGAGCAAGTATTTCATACTTCTGTGGGATGCTACTAGTCAGATGAGCTATAATTGTAAAAGCTGAGAGATATGAAGACTTTGCAGAATACTGATTCGGGAAGAAAGCAATTAACCCAACTTCTTGGTGTAATGTGCTTACCTTATTAGGCTTTGTCATCTCTTACATTGTGTTTGTAAAGACACTTATCCCACATATTTTTAGAATCTGATTCCCTAATACGATAGAAGAAGAAAATAGTGCGAATCAATGGCTTTATGAACTATTTTCAGCTACATTTTATTCATTTTGAGTACTTCTGCCTCTTGGATTTGCGAGAGAAATTGGCACTTTAAGATACAACAGTATTTTCGGAGTGTTTTGAACTCTTTATTTGACAGCAATGATGATTTCAATGTTCTTCCTAGATCATTCTTTAGTCCCCCATAGACTTGAGAACATCAAGCAAGCTAAATTATGGGATATTAGCTATACAGGTATGATGAATTCAATTCCTTTCGTGGTATTTGCCTTTTTATATCAACCGAATATGCCGATGGTTTACAGAGAACTCAAAAAGCAGAGCTATTCACAAACAATGCTAGTGACCATTGCAGCATCTATATTCTCAGTAGCAGTCTACATTTTGGTCAGCTCCTTTGGTTATCTTTGCACTATCGATGAAGGAAAAGCTGTAAACATTCTACTGCTCAAAATAAATAACTTCTCTTTCCAAATTGGCATATTTCTATTCTTTTTCGTAATTTGAGGGTCTGCACCAATGGCTCTAGTACCAGCCAAAGACACTCTGGAGCATATTTTAAAAGGCTCTGGAGAAAGGCTCTCTCAGAAAGAAAATATTATTGTGACAGTAATCATGGTAGTACTTTGATATCTCTGAGCAGTGGCTGTCCCAGGTATCACAGAAGCAATTACAATCCTAGGATGCACAACTAACCCCCTCTCTGGCTTTCTTTTGCCAATAGTTTTCTACCTCAAAATCGACAAAGATGCTCCAAAATGGAAGGTGATTTGCTGATATTTAATATTTTGCTTCATAATCTGTGTCAGCATCCAGTCATTCTATCTATTCATAACTGAAGATTAACAATTGAGACTGATCACGCTCAAGAGAGGTTGAATTGAGACACTAAAATTTGCTAGAATCTATACTATTAGTTACAAACAATCAACTGATTTTCGAAGGGGTTTTGGGGTTTTGGGGTTTTGGGG